AATTTTATAACATATTAATTGGTTGATTTTGTAATGACGGCCAATAAAATTTTTAAAAAAGAATATCATAATTTAACAAACACATCGACCCAATTTAATACATATCTTTACACATAAGCACACTAGTTTAGCGAGAAACACGTCATGATCATTTTTTTTTCAAATAGATTTAGCCAGGTTGTGATGATTTAGTTGTTGGGATAAATCATATAAATCCATATTAATAAATAGTATATATATAATTTGGGTATCCCCTTCCAATGGATTTTTAAAAAATAGTATATATATATATATATATATATATATATATATATATATATATATATATATATATATATATATATATATATATATATATATATAAAATAGAGATCCGGTGCGGTAATAGGTTGCAGGTGAAAGATGGGGTTTAATCTCAACCCTTGATCTAGCCAAAATCAACAGCCCAGATTGAAGAAAATTTTAAAAAAAAAAATGCGGTAGGATTATGATAATTTTGCATAAGTTCAAAACTTAAGATGCGTACTTTTATAACTTAAGGTGCGTAATTTTATAGCTTAAGGTGCGTACGTATTTTTGATGATTAAGGTTTAAGGTTAAGTTGAGTAGTTTTATAGCTTAAAGTGCATAGTTTTATAACTTAAGGTACATATCTTTAAAGCTTAAGGTGCGTCGCTTTTCTAGTTTAAGATGCATTGTTTTATAGCTTAAGATGCGTAGTTTTATAGCTTAAGGTGCGTATGTTCAATGCTTAAGGTTCGTCACTTTTCTAATTTAAGGTGCGTTGTTTTATAGCTTAAGGTGCGTCATGTTTCTAGTTTAATGTGCATCAGTTTAAACTTAAGATACGTTGTTTTATAGCTTAAGATGCATCAGTTTGAAACAGTTGATCATGCACATGCATGTTGGCAGGAAACACGTTTTTCTTTAAATAATTTTTCTTGATTCCCGTTGATTTATATTATATCAACGGCTCAGATCTCACCTCATCTTTCACCTGAAAAACTCTTCGTGAACTGATCCCTATATATATATATATATATATATATATATATATATATATATATATATATATATATATATATATATATATATATATATATATAGGAAAAAAGACTGAAATGTGAAAATGAATGTATCTATTTCTCAAAATGTGAAGGTTTATTTTTGTGGACAAAAATATGAAAAACTAATTTGGGACTTGCGTTTTTTGTCAGAAGTGGTCAAATCAAAAACGCAAGTCCCACTTGCGTTTGTGTTAAAAAAAAAAAAAAAAAAAAAAAAAAAAAAAAAAAAAAAAAAAAAAATTGGTTGCCGGCGAACTGCCGGCAACAACCTTCTCCAGCGAAGGAGAAGGCAACCAGTGGCAGTGCCGGTGGCCTTCTCCTTCGCTGGAGAAGCCTTCTCCAGCGAAGGAGAAGGCCACCGCCACTGGTTTCCTTCTCCTTCACTGGAGAAACCGGCGACCCACTGGTTTCTCCAGCGAAGGAGAAGGCAACCAGTGGCGGTGCCGGTGGCCTTCTCCTTCGCTGGAGAAGCCAGCGATTTGGGTCGCTGGTTTCTCCAGCGAAGGAGAAGGTTGTTGCCGGCAGTTCGCCGGCAACCATTTTTTTTTTTTAACACAAACGTAAGTGAGACTTGCGTTTTTTATTTGACCACTTCTGACAAAAAACGCAAGTCCCAAACTAATTTTTCATATTTTTGTCCACAAAAATAAACCTTCACATTTTGAGAAATAGATACATTTATTTTCACATTTCAGTCTTTTTTCCTATATATATATATATATATATATATATATATATATATATATAATAATGCAGTATGGAGCATTCTTTAATTTATATGTTAATGATTCCCACTGCGGTCGATCTAATTGAGATCATTTTGTCCTTTGCCATTGATTTCCACTCTATTCCTCGAATTGAGAAAGAAGGCGCGTGGCCGGTGGCACACTTGACATAAATACCATTATTTAACTGCACATTGCTTTGCAATTTGATCATCAAATCAAATACGGAGTATATTTTATTCAAAGAATAGCGAAAAGCCGAAAACTGTGAAATTTAATCCCAACTCCCTAAGTGATCTAATGAATAGTGAAAATAGATTCTCTAAATGAACAAACAAAATTTTTTGAGGTACCTTATATTAGATCCTAATAAATAATAGAGTTAATTCTAGAAATGGTTCTTCAATTATTGATTTTTTTTTTAAATTTTTATCTTTGATTTTTAATTTGATCAAAATTGGTCCCTTAATCATTAATTTTGTTCCTATTTTGGTCATTCTGTTAACTTTCTGTTAGATGTGTTAAAATTGAGGACAAAAATGCAAAATCAAATCTTTTTTGCCCTTTCTTCCTTATTTCTTCTCCATAGCTATCAAATAAAATCAAGGATTGCTTTTCTTCTCCATCTCCGTTTCTTATCAAATAAAATCAATAATTCCTTAACCAAATTCTAGAACCCTAGTTTTAATTGTCCGGCAAATTGAAGTATGGGTTTACAACGAAGGGCTGTGATTGATGATATTCCAAGCTATGGTATGTTTGATTGTTTTCTTTTAATATTCTCAGTGAGATAATAAATTTTTTGTGTATATATGAAAGTTATTTATTGCATATTGTATATAGATATTTTTTTGTGTGTGGGGACCAGGGCAATTAGTTGGCCGGTGTAGGTATTGAGTGTGAAAAATGTGATATGTAGGAACAATTGTGTTGAGGGTTGGGTAGAACATGACACTACAATGCATGGAGTAGAAATTAATATTTGAATGTTTGCTAGTGGTTTGGTCATGAATATTTTATGGAATACACATCTATTCATCACTCATAGCCCTTCATCTTAAACTTATACTTCAATTTGCAGGACAATTAAAAATAGGGTTTTTTGAATTTGGTTAAGAAATTCTTGATTTTTTTTTATAAAAAACAGAGATGAAGAAGAAAAGCAATTTTTGATTTTATCTGATAGTTATGGAGAAGAAATGAGGAAGAAAGGACAAAACATTTGGTTCAAAATATGATATTGTGATTAAGGAGAAACGAATTGAAGAAGAAAATGTTAAAAGATTTGGTTTTACATTTTTTCCCCTCAATTTTAACACCTAACAGAGAGTTAACAAAAAGACCAAAATTCAAAAAAAAAAAAAAAAACCAACAATAGTTAAGGGACCAATTTTAGTCAAATTAAAAGTCGATGACAAAAATTAGTAAAAATCTATAATTGAAGGACCATTTTTGAAATTAACTCTTTATTTATTTAGATTTTGACATGAAGGGCATGTTAGGTTCGTTGGAAAATATTTTTCGTGAATTTGAGGAAAATTGACTTTTGCTTTGTTTGGTTCATGGAAAACAAGTAGGACAATTATGCCCTCACCAATTTTTATTAATTATCATTATCATTATTATTAATTATCATTATCATTATTATTATTATTATTATTATTATTATTATTATTATTATTATTATTATGTAGGGCTATAATTGTCTTTATATTTATTATTCCTTACAATTTCAAACTCAACCAAACAATGGAATCAATATTCTCAGTAATTTATTTTTCACCAGCCAAACAATGTAATTAATCTTCCCAGTAATTTTTTCCATGAAATTTCAATTTCAATTTCCCCTCAAATATTTTTCACAAACTAAACGGACCATTATGATTGTTGTTGCCTACCAACAGAGGTCGATAACTTTTTTTTTTTTAATTAAAATTTTAAAAATAAATATTATATACTTAAAATCCAGGCAAGTATTATGATGTTCATAAACATAAAAAATTTTTATAGACATTCAAATTTAAGTTTATTGACATATAAAATAAATATTATATAAATATTATTTGTGAAGCGCTAGTTGACACTTAATTTAAAATAATATCATTTTGGATTAAGGGTCCGTTTGGAAAGCAGGAAAATGACTTCTGGAAAATGGTTTCTGGAAAATGAGTCATTTTCCAGAAAACATTTTCCTTTTCCAGTGTTTGGTTGCATTTGGAAAACTGTTTTGGTGTGTTTGGTTCATTTTCTGAAAAATGAGTAAAATAGTATAATTAAATATTTTATTTTGAATTAAAAATTCATTTTATATTTAAAAAAAAAAAATGGCTTCCGGCGGAACCCAGTTGGGTTCGCCGGAAACCATAGCCATGGTTTCTGGCGGAACTGGGTTCCGCCAGATTTAAAAAAAAAAAAAATAATAACGAAAGAGAAAGGCGGAAAACGACTTCCGCCCAAATTTGGCGGAAGTCATTTTCCGCCAAATTGGGCTCATTTTCCCCAGTCAACGGAAAATGTTTTCCGTTGACTGGATTTTCCAGGTGTAGCCAAACACCAAAAACTCGGAAAATGACTTCCAGAAGTCATTTTCCGGGTTTCCAAACATAGCCTAAGATCAATAAAAAAAAAAAAAAGATGAATTCTAATTAATAATATAATTTATTTGTCAACAGAGGCCGATAACGCAATAACTTCAAAATTTTAAAATTTAAAAAATTATATACTTAGAAGCCACTAAACTACGTAAGTATTAAGATTTAAATTTATTGAAATTTTTTTTTTTGTATCATTTACTCTGTTACAGTGTTGTGTTTATTTATAACTACTTTTTCAAATTATTGAAATACAAAAAATCAATATTACTTCCATTGAAACTTAACCCGACAATCACCAAAAAACAACTTGGTGCACCATAAGGTCATTGCATTATTTGGGTCAAATGCATCAAGTTAGGTGAATCATTAATGCATGGCGCGTTGCCTGGCCTTTCTGGTCATGACAGCGAAAAAAGATAAGATCTTTTTTTTTTTGAATGCAAAAAAGATAAGATCTTGATTAAAAAAATAATTTATTTGCGCTTGCGACGCACGAGGCTAATAAAATATATGTCACAAACCACTATGCATGTTATCATCATGTGACTCTTATAAAGTTTTATAAAAAGAAAAAAAAAAACAGTATAATACAGAAAAGCAATAGTTTTAGATCAAGATTAAAACATGCATAAATTGTAGCATTATTTCTTTCTTGAATCTCGCTATAAATTCTAATACTACCAATCACTTCTCACAAGTCACAAGTAGTCTTCTTCAATTCATATTTTCATCTGACCTCCGCCGGAAAAACTAAAATGTCATCGTCCGATAACTCTAAAACCCTTCCCCTCCGGGAAATCCCCGGCGGCTACGGATTACCGTTTTTCGGCCCGATCGCCGACCGCTACGACTTCTTCTACAACCAAGGCGCCGACGAGTTCTTTAGGAGCAGAAAGGAGAAGTATAAATCCAGTGTGTTCAGATGCAACATGCCGCCCGGTCCTTTCATGGCCGGAAACCCCAAGGTGGTGGTTCTGCTAGATTCGGTTAGCTTCCCCATCTTGTTCGACGTTTCCAAGGTGGAGAAGAGGGATATCTTCACCGGTACATACATGTCGTCCACCAAGTTCACCGGCGGCTACCGTGTCTGCGCCTACCTCGACCCCTCCGAGCCCAAACACGCCACAGTCAAGGGGCTGTTCATCCAGACCTTAGCAAAATTGCACGACAGGTTTCTCCCGTTGTTTTCTAGTATCTCGGACGACATGTTCGCGCAAATCGAGGACGAGGTGGGTAAGACAGGGGAGTCTAATTACAACGACATTAACGATGTCAAGGCTTTCGAGTTCTTGTTTAGGTTATATTGTAACGACGTGAAACCGTCTGACACAAAACTTGGGACGGGGGCCGCCAAGTCCGTCACGACTTGGCTGCTCCCGCAGATCGCCCCGGTCACCTCGTTCGGGCTAAGCTGGCTGCCCGGTTTCGTCGAGGACTTATTAATGCACACTTTCCCCATCCCATTTTTCCTAATCAAATCCCAATACAACAAGATGTACGACGCTTTCCTCAATAACCTAGGACCCATCCTAGACGACGCCGAGAAGGTCGGCCTCAAAAGAGACGAAGCCTGTCACAACTTCATCTTCTTCGTCTGCTTCAACTCCTACGCCGCCTTCAAGTTCTTCCTCCCGGAGCTCATGAAGTACATCGGCTCCGCCGGGGAGGCCCTCCACCGGCAGCTGGCGGAGGAGATCCGCGGCGCGGTGGAGCTAGAAGGCGGGAAAATCACCATCAACGCCCTCAACAACATGCCGTTGACCGAATCCGCAATCTGGGAAGCTCTCAGGATCGAACCCCCAATCCGGTACCAATACGCAGTAGCCAAGGAGGACATAACCATCAAAACCTACGACGCTTCCTACCTCGTCAAGAAAGGAGAAACCATATTCGGGTTCCAACCCTTCGCCACCAAAGACCCCAAGGTTTTCGAAAACCCGGAACAGTATATCCCGGATAGATTCGTCGGAGAGGGGAAGAAGCTGATCGAGTACGTTTACTGGTCCAACGGGAGAGGGACTGATATCCCGACGGCGAACGACAAACAGTGCCTGGGAAGGAACATGATTATTCTGCTTTCAAAGCTGCACTTGGCGGAGTTTTTTCTCCGTTACGATACATTCACCGTTGAGGTTTCAAAGTACCTTTTCAGCTCCATCGTTAAAGTCAAGTCCCTAACCAAAGCTTCTTCATCAACATGAAAGCATTAGTCAACTTTTTGGGGATCCGGAATGTTTGATTTGTTTCAACTTGTATAATTTTCTTTATTTTATATTTCTGTTTTTTTCATAATTCAAATGGATAATAACGTGTGCTTTTTTATTTCATGTGATGATTATATTATGCACTTTGAATACAACAAAATTAAATATATTACATTTATACATATAGATCATTTATAATTATCACTAACATTACATGATACACTTTTAATAAACTAAATATATATTATTTGTGTATTGAATTTACATGATTCGATAGTAAAATAATATATTTTCAGTACTCAAATAATATAGTTTTTATTTTGTAGTCTACATAATTGTGTGAACCATAATTTATAAAATAATGATGGCAAACATTTGTCTTTTGAACATGTAGCAACAGATAAGCAAGGGTAGGTCGTCACTTGTCATTGCTATTATCATCAAGCTACTTGATGTTAATTAGTTAACAACTACAGATGACAAACAACTTCAGAAGTTAAAGTATCTAATTTTTCCATAAAATTTGATTACGTGGGCCCACGTGATAATGATTCAATTAGATTTTGGTGAGGTGGTATAAAATAATATACTCCATAATCATTTAATGGTATTAAAATACTATCAAGATTCAAACACATAACCTTATACTTAATAAAAATACTCTTTACCCGGCCACCCAATTACACACTAATTTTGCTATGTAATTGTAAAATACATGTTTTAGTAGATAGTTAAACTCTTTTGTTTCTAGATTTTTTATCAGTTGTTCTATTCCCTATAGGATACTTTGATTTATTCTAGGTGAGCCAAAAGCAAGGTATTATGGAAATATATATATATATATATATATATATATATATATATATATATATATAGAATGATTATAATAGACTTTGCACTTTTCAATGACAACATATATAATTGAGGGATGTATAGTAGTTTTTATATATATGTCAAGAATCAAGGTGTACGAGAATTATTATTCTCTAACCATTTGACCACCTTGGGACAATGCTTTATTCATAGGTGCCCATAAAATTTTCAAACAAATAGTACAAGTTATCCGAATATAATAGCGCTATTAGATAGGCTGGAAATCAGAAATCATGCATCTTCAATTCCCAAGGCCACATCTGGTTTAGCATATAATTGAACTGCGAAAACAAAACACACCGCATAAAGAAAAGATTAGACCAATGGGCAAAATTATATCGTGGACCGCGTTACATAATTGATTATGCATCGAGCTTTAAAACAACGTCATATTGTTTATTGAAAAGAAACGGTACCTGTTTTGCGTCATTCTGCAAAAAGTAATTCTGACATTCAGTTTCATTTTGTATACACTGCAGTTTCAGTTTAACACAATTACATTTTCATTTCGATACAACTACTGTTTCATTCGATATTTATACACTCAAATATGTGAAAATGTTATTTAATTTTATTTTATATTCATTATAGTTTCATTAAAACACAACTATAGCTTCATTCCACAATATACACTCAAATAGCTGAAATATTATTTAGTTCCATTTTATATACACTGCAGTTTCATTTCACAACAACTACAATATCATTTTGATATAACTGCAGTTTTATTTGATAATATATAAAATAAAACTTGAAACAGTGTTAGTTTAGATACACCGTTGGGTCAGTTTAGATACACTATAATTTCAGTTGATAATTAACACATTAAAAAATATGCGCTTCTTTTGACAGGCGCCGTTTTAACCGGCACCGCGATCCACAATATAACACCAGTGGGGATGGGGCTTCGATAAAGCCCAAAGAATGTGCAACGAGCAGTTATGGTGTAAAAGTCAGCCTAATGACTCAATTAAAATCAATACTTGTTAGCTAATACGGAAAATTATTGTATGGACCATGGTCCAAAACGACATCATTGAACTTTATGAGTTAGAATAATATACATGTGTTAGAATAATAAAATTTTAATGGTAAGATAATGTACTTTATGAGTTAGAATAATATACATTATGCTTTAAAATAATGTACATTATGAGTTATAAAAATATATGTTGCAGTGGGTCACGTGAAAAAAAAATAATAATAATTACGCAAAACGACGTAGTTTTTGGACCGTGGTCCACGCTATAACTATTGGATATATACTCCCTCCGTCCATTTTGTTTGTCTAGTTCGGTTAACGAGACGTGAGAAAATGGACAGAAGGACTATTAAACACAATTTTTCATAATATTAAATTTAATATTAGTATATAAAATTTATATATTTAGAAACTACATCAAAAGTACTATTAAACACAAAAAAAATAAATTTAAAAATAATTACAAAGTAATAATTACTAAATACTAAAGAATAAGCACGGAAGAAAGAATTTGTTTGACCTTAGTAAACAAGGCAGACACAAAATGGACAGAAGGAGTAGTTGAGAAAACATGCAACAAAAACGATTGTTAATTAATTATTAATTGTAAAAATTTTAAATAATAATTATTCATATTTATAAATTTATTAATATAATATAATTATAAAATTAAAATAAAAACATAATTGTGCCTTAGAAGTAAGAACCTATAAAATGATAGGACATAACGGATCTTCTACCTTGTCGCTCGATTCTCCCTCTAAGGACTTGTTTAGTTAATGACGGATCCGCTATTTTTGACGTTTTGACTACATCAAAACACCAAAAATTTTGTTTGGTTAGTTAACGATTTGCTCCAAACCGCTGAAATCTCAAATGCTGCAAAGTGCAGCGTTTGGGGTTAGCGTTTTGGGGAGAGAAAATCCTTCCCCAAAACGCCCTCTACCATATATATAAAAAATAAATAAATAAATAACTAATAACACAGGAACCTAAGGCTCATATAAATAAATGAGACTTAGGCTCCTTTCGCCTTCCCCATTCGATGTGGGAACACATCAGATGGGAAGGTTTGGAAATAGGGGAGTTGAACTCCTTTTATAGAGGAGTTCAACCCCCTATTTCTCTTCTACTTTCGATGTATTATTATTATTATTATTATTATTATTGTTATTATTATTATTATTATAGTTGTTGTTGTTGTCTTCTTATAATTATTATTATTTTGATCTTGTTAGGTAGTATTATTTATTTTTTATTTTATTATTACATAATGAAATTAATAATAATAATATTATTATTATTGTTATGAATGTCTTTTTAGGTCTTTCTATATGTTAGCCGCTAATCTAAATAGCTAATTTTACCAAACATCTTTTTTCAAACCGCTGATACAATCTGCTGGTCAAACCCGCTAATACAATCCGCTATTTGTGAACCGCTAATATGATCCCCTAACGCTAATTTGCCAAACAAGGCCTAAGTCGCTAAAATCCTCATCCCATTCACCCTCCATGGTAGACGTTTTCGATGTCTCAACTCCAGTCCCTGCAACAATATCTCTATACGACAAAGGTCGGTTGGCTACTTTCCTGATCCATATTCATATAATTCTACTCCACCACTTCCAAGGGTGATATTTCCTATACTATATCGACAAGAATCATCGAAGACCCGTCGACACGCTTAGATTTCTTGGTGCTCCGTTCAAGCAGATCTTGATATTCAGACGAACATTGAGTCGAGAGCATATTGAGATTCACTTTTCGACATCACTTGGTTAGACCACCTTTGAGCTCTTTGTTCGAGGACGATATCCTAATTGCTTGTTAACCATAGAATAATTGATCAAGTATAAGCGAAAAAAAAAAAACATTAAAAAAAAAAAAAACAAACAAACTGCTCAAGAGGCCGGTCAAAGTACATGTCAAGTCCTTGTACTATATAGAGTCTTGTTCAAATTTTGTTTAATTTAATTAATGTACTTTAAAATTTAAAACAATCACGTAACAATAATGTTATATTTTTGTTAAATTGTGTAAAATAATATAATTATAATAATTATTTAATGATATCAAAATACCATCAAGACTCAAGGACTTACCTCCTACTTAATAAAAAGTACGGAGTACTTTCTACCCCAAACTACATACTAATTTTGTTATGTAATTGTAAAACACTTATCTCAAATTTTTGAATAAGTCAAACAATTGAAGTGGGCCAAATAGGTAAAAAGATAAAAAGTTAACTCAAAAAGTTACTTTACCAAACAATAGAAAATCATCAACAGTTAGCACAATAAGTTGACCAAGTGTTTTTTTTTTTTTTTTTTTAAATACAAAAGTTAGTTATATCTGGGTATTATAAAATTTTATTAGTCATCAAATTTCTATGACTAATCTAATCCATGTGTGGCCGGTATGGTCACCGCACATACATGTCACCTAATTTTTAAGAACCATAGCTAAATTCACCTGCAATAAAAAGGTAATTTGACATGAGATAAAAGTCAATGTGATATTATATTATAATATAAAAAATTTAATTGTTTAAAAAGTAAATTTTTATCAATTAATTTATGAGTCACACTTGTGTAAGACTATCTCATTGATCCTTATCTGTAAGATATGTCCAGTCTAGTCAAATCAAAATTCAAATATCATATAAACTTATATGTGCAAGAAACTTAATATAAGATGATATATTTTGGACCAATCCATCAAGCAAAGTGAAATTATTGTCCATGATATAGTTTACCCGTAAATGGCGCGTTGCCCAGTCTCTCATGACAGAGCAGAATATAAGATGTTGACTAAAAAAAGGCTAATAGAATATAATGCCCCTAACCACTATGCATGCTATCATCATGTAATTCTTACAAAATTAGATAGTAAAGAAAAGCAATAATTTTTAATCAAGATTAAAACATACATAAATTGTAGCATTATTTCTTTCTTGAATCTTGCTATAAATTCTACTGTTATTATCTTTCATTCCTCCCAAGTAGTGCTTCTTCTTCTTCATTGTATTCCACATCTGCCCTCCGCCGCCGGCCACCAGCTAAACAAAAAATGTCGTCCGATAACACTAAGAACCTCCCCCTCCGGGAAATCCCCGGCGGCTACGGATTACCGTTCTTCGGCCCGATCGCCGACCGCTACGATTTCTTCTACAACCAAGGCGCCGACGAGTTCTTTAGAAGCAGAAAGGAGAAGTATAAATCCAGTGTGTTTAGATGCAACATGCCACCCGGTCCTTTCATGGCCAAAAACCCCAAGGTTGTGGTTCTGCTTGATTCGGTTAGCTTCCCCATCCTGTTCGACGTGTCCAAGGTGGAGAAAAGGGATGTCTTCGCAGGTACATATATGTCGTCCACTAAGTTCACCGGCGGCCACCGTGTGCTCTCCTTCCTCGACCCCTCCGAGCCCAAACACGCCACCATCAAGGGGTTGTTCATCCAGACTCTAGCCAAATTGCACGACAGGTTTGTCCCGTTGTTTTCTAGTATCTCGGACGACATGTTCGCGCAAATCGAGGACGAGGTGGGTAAGAAAGGGGAGTCTAATTACAACGATATTAATGATGTCAAGTCTTTCGAGTTCTTGTTTAGGTTATATTGTAACGATGTGAAACCGTCCGACACAAAACTTGGGACGGGGGCCGCCAAGTTGGTCACGACGTGGGTTCTCCCGCAGGTCGCGCCGGTCACCTCGTTGGGACTCAAATGGCTGCCGGGTTTCATCGAGGACTTGTTTCTCCACACGTTTCCAATCCCATTTTTCCTAGTCAAATCCCACTACGACAAGATATACCACGCTTTCCTCAACAACCTCGGACCCCTCCTAGACGACGCCGAGAATCTCGGCCTCAAAAGAGACGAAGCCTGCCACAACTTTATCTTCTTCGTCTGCTTCAACGCCTACGCCGCCTTCAAGTTCTTCCTCCCGGAGCTCATGAACTACATCGGCTCCGCCGGGGCGGCCCTCCACCGCCAGCTGGCGGAGGAGATCCGCGGCGCGGTGGAGCTAGAAGGCGGGAAAATCACCGTCAACGCCCTCAACAACATGCCGTTGACCGAATCCGCAATCTGGGAAGCTCTCAGGATCGAACCCCCGGTCCGGTACCAATTCGCGGTAGCTAAAGAGGACATAACCATCCAAACCTACGACGCTTCCTACCTCGTCAAGAAAGGAGAAACCATGCTCGGGTACCAGCCCTTCGCCACCAAAGACCCCAAGGTTTTCGAAAACCCGGATAAGTATATCCCGGATAGGTTCGTCGGGGAGGGGAAGAAGCTGATTGAGTACGTTTACTGGTCCAACGGGAGAGGGACTGATATCCCGACGGCGAACGACAAACAGTGCCTGGGAAGGAACATGATTATTCTACTTTCAAAGCTGCACTTGGCGGAGTTTTTCCTCCGTTACGATACATTCACCGTCGAGGTTTCGCAGTACCTGTCCAGCTCCATCGTTAAATTCAAGTCCCTATCCAAAGCTTCTTCATCATCAACATGAAAGCAATTGAACGCCGGGGGGTATTGTGGTGTGGAGGTCCGTGGTTACGTGTGTTTCAAGCTGTATGTAGTATAATTTTCTTTAAATTATATTTCTGTTTTCATAATTCAAATGGATAATAGCGTGTGCTTTTTATTTTATGTGATGAATTATGCCCTTTGAATAAAACAAAATTAAATATATTACATTTACAAATGTCATCAAGATTTAAACACATACTTAATCAACTACTTAATAAAAAGTCATCGATCTTTACCACCAAGTTTCACACTAATTTGGTAATGTTTTAGTATATAGCTAGCTAAACTCTTTAGCTTCTCTCTTTCCAGCAGATTTTCGGCATGTCTTTACTTGTTCCATTCACTATAGTATAGTTAACCGGTATTTTGAATCACTCGCTCGCAGGTTAGAGATGTGAAAACGGGCTAGCGGGGTGGAACTGCTAAAGCCCACCATATGAGGAGGCGGGCAAAATAGCCCGCCAAAATATGGGCCTAAAATGGGTCCGCTTGCCCCACCATATAGGGGGAGCTGTGTTGACCATGGTTTAGAACGATGTCGTTTCTTTTATTGAAAAAAAAATGACACCCGTTTCGTGTAATTAGTTATTTTTGTATAATATATTCAGTTTCATTTTGTATACATTATAGGTTCATTTTAACACAACTAATGTTTCATTCCGATTCATTTGACATTATACATACAATAGTCTTATTACAGTGAGACATTTTATTGAATTTCATTTTATACACACTATAGTCTTATTACAACACCACTAAATTATAATTCTAACTCAACTACAGTTTCATTGGATAATATACTCTCAAATATGTGAAACTGTTATTCATTTTCATTTTCTATACACTGTAGTTTCATTACAACACAACTAAAGTATGATTTTGATATAACTACAGTTCCATTTGACAAAATACACTCAATATGTGACACATGTTATTCAGTTTCTTTTCATACACACTGTAGTTTCATTTCAACAAAACTAGATTATCATTTCAATTCAACTACAGTTTTATTTGATAATATACAATCCATATGTGAGACATATTATTCAGTTTCATTTTATACATACTGAACTTTCATTTCAACACAACTAAAGTATCATTTTAATTCAAATACAGTTTCGATCATTTGATAATATAAACACAATGTGCGAGAAAAATTATCTAGTTTCATTTTAGATACATTGTAGTTTCATTTTATTCTGAACACACCAAAAATACGAGATTTATTAAAATTTAACGGTTGATGTTTCTTTATTTAAAGAAACGGCGCCGGTTTCAAACCATGGTCCACATAGATGTATGGACCATGGTCCACCGTATAACAACTGATATGATAACTAGCCTGGAAATTAGGAATTGGCAAATTATACTATGGGCCGCGGTCAACAAAGCATTATGGACCATGGTCCAAAAGGTGCTGTTTCTTTTCATGTAAAGAAACAGCATGCGCTTCGTGCCGTTTCCGCATAAAGTAGCTTTGTTTGTATAACATATTTAGTTTCATTTTATATACACTGCAGTTTCATTTCAACGCAACTACAGTTTCATTTTTATATAATTACAATTTCATTCGACATTATGCACTCAAATATGTGAAACTGTTATTCAATTTCATTTTATATACACTGTAGTTTCATTATAACACAACTACAATATCATTTCGATATAACTACAGTTTCATTGGACAATATACACTGCAGTTTCATTTCAACACAACTACAGTTTCGTTTCAATATAACTACAATTTCATTCGACATTATGCACTCAAATATGTGAAACTGTTATTTAGTTTCATTTTATATACACTATAGTTTCATTATAACACAACTACAGTATCATTTCGAAATAACTACAGTTTCATTGGACAATATACACTGCAGTTTTTTTTTTTTTTTTGGGAAAAAGGGGTGGGGTAGACCCAACAAGCTAAGACCTTGTGCCTTCAAAAAGCACCCGATCATTCCTCAACATCTCTATAATGCTATCTGGTGGCACATTAAACTCTATCCAATCACAGCGATTTCTAATCGCCATCTTAGCGAGCTCGTCAGCAACTGTATTATTTCTTCGCGGTGTATGATACACTGCAGTTTCATTTGATATAACTACAGTTTCATTCGACATTATACACTCAAATATGCGAAACTGTTATTCAGTTTCAATTTACATACACTATAGTTTTATTACAATACAACTGCAGTATCATTTCGATATAACTACATTTTCATTGGACAATATCACTCAAATATGTGAAACTGTTATTCAGTTTCATTTTATATATACTGCAGTTTCATTTCAACACAACTACAGTTTCATTTCAACACAATTACAATTTCATTTGATAGTATAAAAACAATACGTGAGACAGTTTCATTTTAGATACACTGTAGTTTCATTTTGTAATTAACACCATAAAATACGGGCTTAAAGAAACGGTGCCGTTTTTTTACTATGGTCCACAAAGCTTTGTGGATAATGGTCTACGATATAACGATAGGTAAATGAAAAATTATTGTATGTGGATCATAACAAAAAGTACATTTTTAATATACTGAATGTACATTATTTTTGTACCAAGTGTACATTATACAATATAATGTATACTCAGTACAAAATTAATGTACATTGTAATGTACATCATTTTTGTATTGAATGTACATTATTTTACAGTATGGTCACACGATTGTGGATAAAGCACAAAGAATGTGCAGCAAGCGGTTATGGTGTTAAGGTCCAGCCTAATGACCCAATTGAAATCAATACTTGTTAGCTAATTTGCAACCGTTATGTTGTGGAGCTATGTGTACCTTGGGAGATACGGTTCTATATTCATAATTACTAAACTATATATTCATTATTATAAAGTTATATATTCACAATTTTTAAACTTCATATTCATAATTATTAAACTCTATATTCACAATTACAGAACTTTATGTTCATAATTATAAAGTTATATATTTGTAATTTTTGAACTTTATATTCACAATTATTGAATCTCTATATTTATAATTACAGAATTATATATTCATAATTATGTTCACAACTCTATATTCATAATTATAGAATTATATATTTATAATTTTTAAACTATATATTCATAATTATGAACAGTTTTAGAACCGTATCCACCTTGTAAGATGGACACGGTTCCACGGCATAATTTGCCGCTAACTTGGATTGTCAAACTCTATCAACCTAGATAGTTGAAAAAACATGCAACAAAAACGATTGTTAATTTTTTTTTTTGAATGCTACTAGCTCTATTACATTGTAGTATCTGTTCATATACTTTCTCAACCTACTAAAACACAAAGAGCTAATAACGCCTCCACTGAAGCTTGAACTTACAACCTTCCAAATGGAAGTCCAACCCGGGTACCATTAGACCACATAGTCCTGGTAACGATTGTTAATTTATTAATTATATAATTTTTAAATAAAAATAAAAGGGAAAATGACATTTTTTCTCCCTGAGTTATATACTTATAGTCATTTTTTTCCCTCAATTATTTAGGTAAGCACATTAGCCCCCTCAATTATTCTAAAAGTGGTGATTTTTTATTTTCCCCCCCTGATATATTAAATTGACATTTCTACCCTTAAAGTAAACATTTTAT